AAGTTGATATGTTGGGCCTATTTGGCAGTTTAATGTTTAGTCCTTTACATGTTATGGTTTACCCACTTCGCTCCAGCCAGTGACGCCGTGATGTTTTGTGACGCCGGCACTTATTTGGCCAAAAATTCGAAGCTCGTCTTCAGAGGCTTTCAGTTCATATCGATATTATGGTTCTCTTTGGTGCCTTTGCGGAAACACAATTTCCAGTTCTCCATTTTTTGCTTAGTGTATGAGAATGAAGAGGAAACTGTTGATCATCTATTTATTTTTGTGCATTCCATCAAAAACAAAATTTTATATTGTGCTTTCTTCAGAGATATTTAGGAGTTCTTCTTCTCGTCGTTTGGAATCTCCCGGCTCATCCTATTCTTGATTCTTGTTGTCTTTCGAGGATGTGCCCAGTATGCATTTTCTAGGGAATTTGGCTGTAGCAAAATAACCATGATCAAAGCATAGTTTATTTTAATTATAAGTTCCACCTTAACTCTTTCATGATGCTATTTGGCCTGTTCTCTGCTCCTCTGTTTTTTCTGTGCTTGGTTTTAGTTCAGAGCCCATGTTGGCTTCTGTTTGCACTTGATGAAACATATGTACATTTCTTTTGTATCACAAAAGAGGGAGGAAGAAACTCAAAAGCCAAAAAATTTACAATCCAGTTTTAGATATGGACCCAGTTTCTATGAGGCCAAGCCCGCATATCTAGAAATGCAGGCCTCTTAATAAATCTATTTTTGAGATGGATTTTAAGACTTTATTTTTAAGGACATGTAATCTCTAACATGGAGATCATGAATATGAATAAATAAATAAATTTTAAAACTAGAAATAATAATTCTAGTAAGAAAATATTTGGACCGTTAGTTTCCATTGTTTTTAGATGGAACACCTACTGGCATCCATCTTTAAGATGGATGCTTTACACTTTCTTGACCACATATGTAGAAATGCGGTCCAGCCCGCATGAAACAATTTTCCTTTAGATGATCCTATAAGAAGCACCTATAGTGGCATTGCACTGAGAAAGAGATAAAACCTTCAGTGACAAGCTCTGATGCCATAATAGAGCTCTTATGGGCCTCATATTTATCTTTAAGGATTAGTTGCCTAGAGGAAATTTCCGTTTTTCTTATTTTCCGATAAGATTGCATTTTTGTTGTTTCTAATATATGGAAGTAGTGGAGATTCTTTTTTTTTTGTTTTAAACATTATTTTTTCGTTTTTCATGATTTTATTCTAGAGCTATGCTTTTGTGTCATATGTCAAATGAAGAAAAGGTCTTCTTGTGATATGTCTAGGGATTGTTTTCCTAACCTCTAACTTTCTTCTCTATGTAGGGAAAATCTTCGGCAGACAAGAGTGGTTGGAGTTTCAGGAAGAGGTCTGCTAGGCATCGAGTACTCAGTAATACCGTGATCTCAGAGCTTCCACCACCTGCTGGGAATAAGGAGAGCCTTGAATCCACATCTCATGAATTTGCAGAGCAGGTTACAGTCTCTGTTTCTGAAAAGATCTATGTGCCTCCTATTGTCACCGAGACAAATCCAAAGCCTCCTATTGAGACAAATCCTAAGCCTTCCATTGTGGATGAGAAAAATCCAACCAGTGTGATCCCGAAATCAGCAGATGGCTTTGATGGTAACGGGAAAATTGGTACTATTGAGAGCAGCAGCCCATTGGAATCTGTAGTCATAGTCATCCAGGCAGCTATTAGAGGATACTTGGTATGTTCTTATGCTACCATTTTAGCCTTTTTTCTATTCTAGGAAAATATGAATTTAGGATGTGGGTTACATCTGAATAAATCATGTGGATGCTCCCGAAACTTGAAATTTTGTAACAGTGTCTGAGCTGGTCATTAATTTTAAGTCGCTATTCTACCCTCAATTTATAATTTAAGAGTACATGTCTGTTTTTTTTTTTTTTTTTGAGATATGTAATTTGGGGTAAAGGATTCACTTTTTAAAAAGTGACATGTCTGTGATTGTTTTTAAATTTTGTTTTTGGTAGGGCGTCCATGAATTATGCAGGTATTGATGTTTTCTATCTATTATTCTTGCCCCTTTTAGGTTGAGTTTTCATCTCTTAAACCTTCTTTTCCAGGCTCAGAGAGAGCTCTTGAAGCAAAAGAATGTAGTTAAGCTGCAAGCTGCCATTCGTGGGCATTTGGTAAGGAGACAGGCTGCTGGAACTCTCCGTTGCGTGCAGGCGATCATCAAATTGCAGGCACTTGTACGGGCCCGTCGTGTCCGCATGTCAAAAGAAGGAGTGGCTATTCAAATGAAGCTTGAGGAGAAGCGGAAGAATGACGTAGTGAGAGTGAACTCCTCGGTACTGTTTAGGGGGAAAAAGAAAGTAGATACCCTGAAACTTATTAGGGTGGAACAACAACAATAATAAAAGTGATATTTACAAAAGAATACCATTTTATTTTCAAATTTAAAGATAGTTCCATATATTTTTACACTCAAGTCCCACTTTTTGAGAGCATGTAGTGTATTTTTATTTTATAATTTCTATATTATTTTCTGTATATTGGATTAAGCTCAAAATTTTGGGCCTGCATATTTCTCACCATGATTTATTTCTAATAACTGTGAAAAATTCATTTGACAGAAATTAAATGGCCAAAATATTCCTGCATCTTGTGGGGGTATTTTGGTCTTTTTATTATTGAATGTTTTTTACAAATGCGTGACGGTGAAAAGTACTGACATGCCAAATTTGAGCTTGACCAATGTATAGAAAAAATAAAGTTAAAATACGTTATATTCTTGCAAAAGGTGGGACTTAAGTGTAAATTATGAAATATATGGGCTTATTTTTAGTTGGAAAAAGGCTTTGAGGATGATTATTTAAATTCCAAAAATAAAATGGGACTTTTTGCAAATTTTTTAAATAATAGTATCAATAATGATAATAATAAAATAATGGAAATATATCAAAATACACTTGAAATTTGTACAATTTAACATCTTATACTAGTTCTTTTATCTAATGTCAAAATAGCCCGTTATTATTTTGATCAAATTTCAAATAGCAATCAAATATCATGTCAAAATGGGTTTTGAAATTTGATTAAACCTAGGGTAAAATGTTAAATAGTTCAACTTTTAGGTGTATTTTGATAAATTTCCTTAATAAAAACAATAATAATAAGTTAAATAAATAAATAAATAAATGATGATTAGAAATATTGATGTTTTTAGTTGTTGTTGCTGCTGCTGCTGTTGTTATTATGATTATTATTATAATCATTGAGACTGAATTATTCTTACTGTCCTTTATGCTAATTACTTTGAAATTATTTTGATGGGATAAAGTCCTTTTTTATATTTCTTTCTTCACAAATTTACAGCAGAATGCTTA